TCTGCCGAGAAAAGACTCAATGAGAAATGCACTTAACCTAGGGAATGGGGGGTGCCTGTGGAGGAAGACAAACACCCAACAAGGAGCTGATTCCTGAATTAGGAACCGAAAATGCTGTTTCCTGTTAAACCATCCCAGCAGCTGAAGGTTGCTTCTCCACAGTGTTAGCTGCTTCATTACTACCACCTCACCTTCTAACTGCATCTCTGCAGGGAAAATTCTTCCTAAGTCTTAGCAAGACTGGATTTTCAGAGGCCAATTATTTCCATTGCAACCTCCAGAATAATCTATTACATAGATATCACAGAAACCAAACAGTGTTAGATAAAAAAACATATCTATTTTAAAAATTTTAACTGAAAGCCATCTAGGGGGAAACCCAGAGAGTCTGATGAGAGCTTATATATTTCTCCTGGCAGTAAACAATGCTGCAGTTTTGACTGAGATTTCTTTACGGTAAAAAGGCCTCCAAGGGGAAGAGTCGATATTTATAATTAGCATTTGTGGTATGTCAGAGACAGACCAACAGGAGTTAAAATAAACTAACAGTAGGAAAGAAGAAAGAAGTTGTGCTTGGCTCCACAGCTCCAAATTTGTTACTTTAGCTTAGAAACACCATCCTTGTTTCACAATGGTAGACACATGCAACTTAACATCTGAAAGTGATTCAAGGGTTGAGCTGTGGTCTTCCGCCAGCCTAAGAGAAAAAGGTTCAAGCAGACACCACGTACCCGAGCTTCTGCAGCTGTACCAGCAGACACAGGGGATGCACCCTGAGCCCCCTCTTCCCCCACACCTGCGACACAGAACCCCAAGGCTTCTTCCCCGTGGGCTGTGGCTGCACAGGCACTGCCTTGAAGGGGCAGAAGCCAAAGGGTTTGCCCTTCCCCAGGCAGCCCAGGGGAGGAGAGGGGGCGCAGGATCCAGAAACACGAGACACTGTTCCTGGGCCTCAATGCAAGTGCAGATGTGGCTCCCTGAACTGAGTCAATGTTCTCCAAGCCCCCTCAGTTTTATGTTTGCACCAGCTTTTTCATAAATTACATTTGTAAGTCATCTTCTCTTTTGAGACAAATACTTCCAGCTCCCTGAACTCAACAATCAGACTTATTTTCAAAACTGTGTAAGAGCTATGCAAGGTTTAGCACAAGAGCCACAATGGGCTACCGGTATCCAGCTCAAGAAGCATTTTTTCACAGTTAAACAGCAAAAAGAACCATAAATACCACACAAAAGGAAATAAAGTCTGTTACAGAATATTTCAAAGTAGTTGTACTGTTTACATATAGGAAACTGAAAGTCACTACTTTGAAATCAACAGTCCTAATTTTAGGAGGAGGAGATTCAGGCATAAAGAGCAGCCAACATCGCCAATGTCTCAAAGGTAATTCTTGGATCTAAGAAAACATCAGTTTAAGACAAGATGGCTAAATCCTGAATGGAAGAGAATAAGGAAGATAACGGGATAGTACTGTTTAACATCTCAAAAAGTCTTACAGTCCATTTCCAATCAAAACAGGAGTTATTCCTTTTGGCACAAAAGAAATTATGAAGAGTAAAACGTGGCTGTGCTGGACATCATTACCAAAAAGTTGGTTAGGGATCACTACCCCAAAGTCCTGCCAAATTTACTCCTCTTCAAGAAATAGATTTGGGATTAATAAGCAGAAACACAAACTGGCAGCAGTGGTGTGCAATATTTTAATCTCCAGTTATCGTAGTCTACTCAACATGTCAAAATACATAATCCAGACTCCTTTCACATGCAATTTCAAGAGCATTTTAGAGCTCTTTAGACTTTTAGAGCTCATTTAAACATTGACTTATCCTTCCTTCATGTAAATGCACAACAGCCAAGTGTTTAAGCAAGAGTTTGGCGAGCTGTAGCCTTCTTTAAAAGCATCACGATCACGTGGAGACAGCGTCTTTAAATTAGGACTCATCCCACAATGTGTCCCAACCAGATGCTTCACTCCAAGGCAGCTGTAGCAGCCCCCACTGCACTTCTAGTGAGAGTCCCGTTGTAGGATGAAGAAATTTGGAAGCGCTACCAGCAGCTGTTTTTTGACACGGTCAGAAGGCTCACGCTGGTGCACGCCTGCAGATGTTCCTCTGTGGCACTGCTGCGAGCGCGCTGTGCTTACGTCTGCACGTGGGGCAGCTCCCAGCGCCAGCAGAGCCCAGCAGACCCTCCTGCCAGCGCTCATCGCTTCATTTCAACAACTACTGAGCTATCACAAAATGATGGCTGGAAACATTTTTCTGCATCCTCCCTGCCCAGGAAGATACTAAATTCTAAATGTTGTACTTCTAAGTAGCATTATCAAACCTATGGATCACCCATTAGTGCTGTATCAAGAATACAGACCATCTGCTTTGCCCTTCCACACCGATTTGGAACAGGGCAGAGCCGGACCCGTAACACACATTTCTGAAAGTCAAAATACCGACCGCTCTGCCAGGGATTTTTAGGGATCAAAATAAATCCCTGTGTTCAACTCCTCTACTTAATGAGCAAGCTTTCCCCCATGGCACCGGTAAACTGTCCTCCCACTGCACTGTTTCAACACTCAAGTACTAACCTATCAGTCACGACCTGCAATGTGTCTTTATACAAAAGTGTGTTGCTATTTCTCTGCTCCTGTCTATAAACAGTCTTCAGGACTTCTCATCAGACAGCAGGCGTAAGTAGCCTAGCTTTTTTAAACATGCAGGCACCCTGATGAAAAAACATCTGAAAAATAATATATACAATGTTTTCTGTGCATTTATGTTATTTGTTTTATAACTATCGCAATAGGCAATGAGTCAGGAGTTTGATGTAAAAGTCTGTAAAACTCGGGCACCGAGCAAACATGAGTGGAGTAAGTATTGAAAATGCCAGAAAGCCCTGCAGCCGAGGTCTCCATTTGCTCCGTAAGACACCACATCACCAACCACTGCAAGCTGGGATATGCATTCTGAGGTGACAATCAATTACTAAATAGCA